ACAAGTCAAAGGTAGATCACTTAGGGGCATGTTATATCGTAAGCGCAAGGCATCTCTAAATTCTTGCTTGTTGAGGGTTAGGCCTTGGTTGTCATAAGGAATAGTGTTTAACCAGGAACTTGCACCTTTATCTCTTGCTTGATCGATGTAAGTTGCCATTTCTGGATTCATCATACCGTSGATGCGCTCGATTTKCGACTTTACCTTCAGTAAATATATATTGCTTTGAAACGCAACATTTTTTTTGAAAAGGCTTCCCTGCAGAGCACGTAGGGAGCCCATGCTTGGTATTTGTGTCATTAAATTACAGTAAATGTTAAACTGATTCCATAAGTCGGTGTTTTCGCTCTTTTGTCGACCCACAAAGAGCGAAAACTGAGACTCAGTCTAAGTAAATATGTGTGGTTTACCATAAATTGCTTTTTTTCAAAAATATTTAAAGTGCCTATGACCTTTTATATATATACAGTCAATTTTATTAACGTTGTCCACCAAAAAAAGACATTTACACATTTACACATTTAGACTAAAAGAAATATCACGTGTTTCCTTGAAGGTTCTGGCATAAAACAAATGCTGAAATACCATTCTCCATCTTAAATTCTCACTAAATGGTCAGGGCATTCTGGATTTTCGATTCACGAGTTGAATTTTACATTTAAAGTTCAGGCTGACGCACACGAGGCAAAGAATACATAATGAAACACGTGATATATCTTTTAGTCTAAATGTGTAAATATGTAAATGTATAATTGTCTTTTTTCGGTGGACAACATTAATGACATTGACTGTATATATATCAAAATATAAGCCATTCTATGAAACGTGTCGAAAGAATTTTTTGATTCTGACACCTCTCAATTTTTTTCGAGCGGTCAAACATGCAAAAATCGGCATTTCTTTGACCTCTGGCCGCGTGAAATGATAACCAGGGGACTGGGTTGTGATGTCAAAGGAGCAGGTTGGTTATGGATGCCTCCTCAATCTCTCTAGATTTCACTAGTATTTATGCCGTGTCTTTTTTACGCTTCCATAAGGCCTCATATTTGTGGCTAGAGGATGTTAAAGACTTCAGACTTCAGGAATGAAATTATTTCTGCTAAGCATTCTACGGTATCAAAGCTAAGAATTATAATATTGTGACTGTCTATGTCCGTATGCCGGCTAGACCCCTAGTAGCATTATTAGAGAGTTTTAGATTTACGTTCACGGCAAACGTGAAACGTCAATTGACCAGTAAAACATTCTTTTAAATGACTGAAAAAGAATCGCAAAAAAGTCCAGTAGTGGTGAGAAGGTTTGTAAATAGTAAAGTAAAGGAAAACTATGAAAACGTGGTCACGTTTGCCGTTTGCGGGGAGAAAAAAAAGTCAATCTAAAACTCTCTATTGTGTAAATCGTACGGGAATTTTGTCTCAACCATTCAATACAGATCTTTTAACATTGCACTAAATACTTCTTAAGAGTTTAATAATCACTGAAATGTTACCACACTCACCAAAACTGTTGATTCTTTAATAAACCGGGAATAAAGTCGCTCCGGAGCGCAGACGACCCAGTTCTACCCTGGGTTCAAGAGTGATTTTTTCCGTGGATTTACTGACTGAGAGCGTCCTCGGTTCGAGCAATGGGGGCAAAATGTTACCAGTTATTATCAGCTGCGGTTCCCTATAACGGCTCTAGGAATTTCTATCTATGCTGCTTTACTTTTAGTTGTATTTTACTAAAGTTTTGACAATTTCAAAACGCAGCCAATGTGATAATATTTCATCGGGTCGGAACCCTTCAACCACCTCACTTGCTTTACAAGGTTGTGTTTACTTCAATATACCAGTAAATTAAGCTACGGATCCTGATTTCAGTATCCCATACATTTCTTTGTTCATCAAGAAGAACGTGTTGCTCTTTTGACATCACTAGCCCAGTCTCCCCTGTCGCTCGGTCATATTTTAGAATCTTGCTATTTTCGCACTTTTGACCGCTCGAAAAAAAAAAAAAAAAAAAAAAAAAAAAAAAAAAAAAAAAAAAAAAGAAGCGTTAGGATCAAAAAAATGTTTCTTATAATATAACATCTTTGGATATAAAAATTTTTAAAAAATAACGTTTAAAGGCACTCGAGGAAATTCGAGAATTTTTTACAGCGCAACGCGCAAAAGTATGACCACATTTACAGTCAAAACGGCTCATGCATTCCTTCCCTGCTAGCAGAGTCTCCCTTGTTGGCSATTCTTGGCAGAGAAAATGGGAGACTCTAGAAAATAGAATAGCCGTTCTTTTTTGATACAAATGACGGAATAGAAAGTGCGTCCCAAATAAACAGAAAGGGATTTTTATAACAGAATCTGAACGCCGTTGTCTATATAATTTCATTGCAGCTGGAAAGAACTATTGACCTCCTGAAGAAAGAAATCAATAGACTGCACCAAGACCTCCTTCAACTACGAAATGATCTCAAAGTGGAGAGGACAAAGAGTTTGGACCTGAATCTGGCATTGAACGATAAAGAACAAGAAATATGTAATCTGCAAAAGGAATATGACCAAGGGATGAAAGACATTTCTTCACGAGTCTTACTTCTGGAAGGCAATTTTCGAAAAGAGCAAACTGAAATTCTTGCAATACTCGAATCAAAAGATCAAGCTATCGAACAGTTAAGAGAAGAACTTTGCGCTCGCGACAAATGTCTCGAAGAACGAGCTAAACAATTCGATGAATTCAAAACTCAAACCCAAAAAGAATTAAAAGCAAGAGACAAAAAAATCGCTTCTCAGTGGAGAGAGTTGGAAGGATATAGGGGTGCGAATAATAAGTTTTTAGGTGCGTTGAACCAACTACGTTCGTCCTCGCCCCCACTTGTCCAGAGAAGTGTTTCAAACATTACAAAATCTTGCCAGGAGATGCATTCAACAAAACCAAGGAATGCTATAACACCTAATGCATCAAGAAAAAAGTTTAGGGGCAGTTCAGATTGGAGAGAAGAACTCTCGGCTTTCTTCTAAAAGTTGAGGATTTGACAATTGTGTTGTTTTAGACAGTATCTAGCTAGAATAGTAGTGACATTAGTGATGAGGTACAGGGGTGGTGTGGGTATCTATTTGTGTGAAGGGGGGTGCTGGGGAGGGAACGTTAACCTCTTTAAAAAAAGTTAAGGTTTTCATTTCATGTATTATTGTATTTGAATATTCGAAAAGTTGAAAAGATCTAAATAGTTATGTATTGTTCCATTTTCTGGTAACAGATAATCTCTTCGAAACTAGATGGGTTATTATGGGAGCCCTTTAACACTAGTAATTGTGTCTCGCGATTCGATCTGTGATTTCAATGGCAATTTAAACGCAACCCCAAATGCGTGCGTGTAAATGATCGGTGATTTGTGCGGCGACTATCGCGCGAAGAGACGCCGCGCGCAAAACTGAACATAGTCGAAAAATCTCTGGGGATTTTTACTTCAAGTTTGCGGCGACTTGGCTGCGATGTTTCTAAGTAAAATTGCCGGATATTTTCCCGCCAAAACTAGCAACTCCGACACTCTTCATTTACTTCTCCCTTAATTTTTAAAATTTTTCTATGTCACTGATTTAGTACCTAGTTTCAAAGGACCTGTTTTGTTCATGTTGACATGGGTGATTATCATATAAATGCCGTTTACATTGTATATCCAATAAAATAATTACAATATGCAAATGCAAAGTAATTTGCTTTTATTGTTTACTTTCCTATACCCATAATACTTTGCGGGTTTTTTTTGGTATAACCAGGAGGG